AGAGAGAGAGAGAGAGAGAGAGAGAGAGAGAGAGAGAGAGAGAGAGAGAGAGAGAGAGAGAGAGAGAGAGAGAGAGCAAGCTACAGGCCCCTTTCACATAAGTCGGAGGGCCCCTGCAGAAAATTAGCAAGGGGATCATCACGGAAGAGAGATGGCCGTCAACTATTGAGAACTGCATGGGCGGGCGAACAATATATGGTCTGGATTCGAATTGTGTTTCAGCATTTATGGGTTACTAACTCAGCTAGGCCCTGTTGGTTGCTGCATGTGATTCTCAGGGCTTCACTCCACTACTCACCACATGTGCAAAACTGGAATGAATCTTCCGCTAGAACATGGAACCATACGCCGCCAGTTGCGGGAAGGAGGGGAAAAGAATGATGAGAAGTGGTAGAAGAGGTAAGAGAGGAGAAAGGGGAAGACGTGCGGGAGGGCCATGTCGATCCCCGTAGAGTACTGTGTAGCTAATCAGATAGCAGTGTGAGGAGTTCAGAGCCTCCTTCCAAGCCGCCGTCCGACTTCTACGATTATTTCGGGGATCAGGAGGGCCTTCCTACATGTAGATGAAGGCGGGAAAGGAGGTTACGGGAAGTAGCATAGAGCAAGACGTTATGATCCTGGCCAATTTCGAAGTACACATTCATCATAAAGTACAATGCCGTCCAAATGCAAAAAGAAATGAAGGAACTTGAGAGGAGAGAGAGGGAAACAAGAAGAAGAAAATGATGATGCACACCAGCATAGACCAATGATAATGCTCTTCTTCTTCGCCACCCACTCTCCTCCTCCTTATCTCCTCCCCTCTTATTCAATCAAGAAATAATAATAATAATGTTGAATGGCTGAACCAGAATCAATGTCTGGATCCCTCTTGTACTGCAGGTATCACATGAGGTCCACCATAGCCATGGCCACCCTTCTTCCTCGTCCTTCCGAGGCCGAGGCTATGGCAGACTACCAGGGCATCGCCCTGCTGTGCAAAGCAGCTATGACTGCTCTAGCTCAGGCCGCCATGCCTGACTCTGTCTCGAAGCTTCTTGGTGTAGCTCTACCCCAACTGGGGCCTTCCTGCTGCAGCGCCCACCAAGGTGATGAAGATGGCAACCACCATGGCCAGGTAAGTACCTCTGGCGCTCCTCCTTCCTAGCCCCCGTGTCCTTGCTCCTTCCCCAGATGCGCTGCTCCAAGCTAGCGCTGCTCCAGCCAGCGCTCCAACCAGTGTGTCGCCAAACTTGCACACCGACAATGAGGAGCACCTTGCTCCTCGTGGAGATATAACGGCCTGCTTGCCTCTTGGCGAGTGACTTCCTAGGCTGCGCAGCCTCCAAACAACCGGTGCCTCCTCCCTTTCGGAGGGAAACATCATTGCAGATTCTGATATTGCCTGTACAGGCCCTAGACTCAGACCAGTTGGACTGGTACCCGCCTAGACCTAGCCTACAACTACTGGGCCTCTAAAAATGCCGACGTTTGTCTTCTTGTGTGCGGCCTCGAGTACCGGCACATCCACCTGTAGTTGGTGTGGTACCGGCCCACCAGCTGGTTGAGTGTTTTCCGCTCTTCTAAGCGTCGCGGGCCTCTTTCCCCGCCACTTGAGTGTTTTCCCCGCTGCAACCCTCAATGCCACGGCCACAGGTAAGTACCGGCCCTTCGGGCCTTTCCGAACAACCAAGTGCCCTTGCGGGTCACACACACACTCAAGCCGACAGGCACTCAGGCAGGCATGCAGACCAGCAAACATGCACCCACACAGACTTAGAAAACTCAGCAACAAGCGGGAAACTCAGTAAGGCTACTAAGGCATACATTCCATGAGCCAAACTCAGAAATCAGCTGTGTGTCGCAGTCCGTTTTTGGCAGGTCATTACACTACCCCCTTCTCAAGAGTGAGGTCCTTCGAGCCAGTAACTCATTCTGAGTCCCCGACAAACACATTGTAAGCGAACTAGCGGGAGGGTAATGCCGCTACCTAAAGGTCAAGACTGATGTCCCAGACACCTTTTTGAGGCTATTTCTCATGCTCAATTGGACGGAAAGAAAAATGTGCACAACTGAACTTGAAAAAGATCAGTTCCTTAGGTGTTGCACTCTTCTGTATCTTTAAAAACAGCAAAAAAAAAACAAAAAAAAGGAAACTGCCGCTGGTACGGCGCACGGGGAGGTTGCAAGTTTGATTGAGACTATTTGCATGTTCCTATTGTTGAAGCTTATTACAATTGGGGGGTTTATTACAGCCCAGGTCTTAGGTACCTGCCCTTTGTAATTCAGACTTTTCTGTGTACTCTTGACCTGTTTCAGAGTGAAATCGCCGTTGTCCAATATCAGTGCCAGAGAAGCAGTTCTGGTCCTTGTACTTTTCAATAGTCTTTTCCATATTTGCCCTTGTTTCTTCTTCAACCGGCATTACTTAAGTTTGTCCAAAGTTCTTCAGGATATATTTCAGTATACATGCTTCACAAAAGAAGATTTCGTGAGAATTCTATCCCAGTCCGTCTGTGGAGTGTTCTGACAAGGTGCGTACATGAAGTATATCGCGAAGCGACTTCTGGCTTACGTTCTTCTGGATAATTGTGTAGTGTTCTGACAAAGCACTCACAAGAAATATATCCCTCTGCGGATTGTTCTGAAAATTGTCAGCTGTTTCGTCCTTGAAGGGCTGAAGCTGTGGAAGTGCATGATACTGTGAAACCACCTCAAGAGGCATTAGCTGTTCTGGAAGACAGACTCTTACGGAAAGTTCTTCATTAGGCAGTTCTTTCGGTTAGCTACCTCCACATCTTTTGACATTTTGTTGGTCCGGTTAACTCACTTTGTTTTGTTCAGGTGGAAGGCCGGGATGTCTCTGAGATTGGGCCAGGCTTATGTGTTCTGGTTGGTATGCATGAGGACGACACCGAAGCTGATGCAGAATACATGTAAGCTTCATCTAGTTCCTTATAATGCCCCCTTTCACACCTTTTTCACTTTCCCCCCAAGAGTCTGCATTCGACATTGACTCATGTGTTGGGTGCCTGACATCAGGGAGCCAAGATGTGCTCTGTGGCAAGTAATCAATTCATCAGTAGGCCTCTGCTTGAAAGTCAGAATGTTTGCATCTGCACACCTACAGTAGAGAAAATATGACTCATGTTGAGTCAACGATGTAACTCTTCCAGGATGTGTGGCTTTTTAGGAAGAATGGTCAGCGAGAGACAGTCTTCGTGTCCACAAAGACTAACCCGGCATACTTTCGCTGTAGGGGGCAAGGACACTTGGGAAATGACCCCAATTGCCCTGCCAACAAGTTAGCAGGGAGGAGGCAGGCGGCCAACACAATGCAGATTGTTGAATGTGAAGCAAAATCAGGTATCTGGTACATCAACTGGCCAGAATACCGCGGTTGGACGATAACCTGGAAACGCCACAATGGGTTTGGGCACTCACAGAAGAACCCACGGTCAAACCCGATGTCTACCCGCCCTATGACAACAGATTGAGGCAGACAGGAGCCAAAAAGATGGAGGGAAAAAGAATTGGCCATTTGGCCAAACCGATAATACAGAAGGAGAGCGTCGACGAAGACGAACAGAAATTGCAGACAATGGAGGAGCTAGCAAAGATAGGCGAACTGACGGAAAAGGCGTTCTAACTTCTACGAGCTCAGACAGAGAGACAAAACCAAGCACAGACGGAGAGTCTCCAACACAGACAAACAGACTGCACAAACGGACGAAGCCATGGACATAGAGAAGAAAGAAGCCACAGAAGGAGAGGGCTGAAATAGGAAAAAGGACGATGGAGCCGAGGGGTCCAGCTGAACAGGAGAAGAGGACCGAGACCTATCAGAGGTAGAGGACGAGGTCGGAGTAGAAGGGCAGAAGAACCAGGAGTGGCTTCGGCAGGCAGTCAAAGACTTGGAGCGAGTCCTCGAGCTGGAATTCAAACTCCAACTAGCTCACCATCTCTACAATCATAAGGTGCCACAGGCAGGAGCAGGAACAGCCAAACAACAACTGGGGCCCCAAAACAGCAACAGGTTTGAGTTGCTGCAGAAGGAAAGCGAGATGCCAGAGTTCCTGGCACAACAATATGGCCTCGAGGCCTGGGAGCATGTTTTACAACTTTTACGGCAGGAATATCAAGCGGATTGGAACCGGGCAGTCAAGAATATCAAAGAAGACCCACCAAGAAAGCAGGCAATCATAGAGAAATTTATCAAAAACAGGCTTGGAACGGGTAAACTCGGCACCGTGGAAGRAGATCCTCCWAGACTRGTATGGAAGAGACRAGAAGATTGTTCACAGAGAGACRCAGCAACAGATCTCGCTTCGCYGRAATCARCGAGATCACAGAGCWGTAGGGTAGACATACACGCGGTGTAGTGGCCCCAGAGAGGAATCATAGCTTGTGTCAATAGACATGCGGTTAAAGATAAAGACGCATTAGGGTTTAGGGGTTAAGGAAAGAGATAAATCACGAAAACAGTAGTGGTACAAGAGAGCGGGTTGAGGAAAGGGGAGGAGTTGAAAAATCTGAAGAATAGGCCTCCTTTCACCTCCTGCATTTCTTCCGCTTTTTTTGTCCTTATGGCAGGTCCGTACATTGGAGCTGAGAGCGAAGGCGGAAGTAAGGCAAGCTGACAGTCAATCCTCCAGGTTGCTGGAGCAATCAATGCTAGTCAGGGTTCCTTCGGCCAGACGGAAGGAAGCGTTGAGTGTGTTTAAAAGATGTAATACTTTCTCCTGACTTGCTGGTGGAATAGGAACCGGACTGCTGCTCCCCAGAATGGAACGGAGCCAGGGCCATAAGGACCTGTTTAAAATAAAAAAAAAAGAGTGGAGGGTGACACCCTCCACGCAGACAATGTAGCATGCTGAGGCCGCTACACGGGCCCTGTTTTGGGGCCCGGCGGTTGTTCCAGGCCCCCAGGGCACGCACCCATTTTTGGTGAGCGACCTGGATGCCCACGGCCATGTTTCCAGGCCAGGCTCACATTTGGTTCCGCGAGTGCTCTCCTTTATTCAGCATTTATTATTTTTGCTGGGTTTTGTCTGGACTAATTTTGTCTGTTTCAGATGTGTCGGTTTGGACTTTTCTTTTGTCCGAACAGGCAGATGCCTGTTCAGACCAGTGGATTTCAGTTTCGGCCATTGTAGGCCAGGTTCAGATTTGTCTGCATCTGGGACTGGACCAGGCATTCATCTGTTTGTGCCTGGCCCAGTCCTCAGGACCCTGCTACATCAGCAGGGTTGCCTGGATGTGACGGGGCTGAGGCAACGAGGCTGGGAGAGAGAGGGAGAGAGTGAGAGCACACACACACACTCAACTCGACGCAGACTCGACACGACTCGACGGACGCAGACACGAAGTGGCAAAGTCGCAAAGTCGAAGTCTTGGATTTCCGAACACAATGTCGAAGCAAGTCACACCAAAGCACAAGTACAGCAGCAGAAAACTGGTATGAGACTCGTCCCCGTACCGTACGGGGAGCCGGTATAAGTACCGGTGACACGTACGGTACCAGGGGCATTTCTGCAAAGGCCCCGAGGGCAGAACTGAAAAATGTGGTATTTGAAAATGGCGCCCGAATTGGAGCATGGCGCCAGTTGTCCAAAATCCTACGGTACCGAAGGAGGGGTTTGGAAAAAGGGTGCCAGGCTGAAAACGGGATGCAGCCGAAACAGCAAAAAGATAGACCAGGGATCAAGCCCTGGCGGAGTCCGTAACACTATCCCCTCCCTCTAGAAGGCAACGTCCCGGCTGCCAAAAATCATGAAGCAATGCTGAAATCTGTGAAGGACGGGACGGGGCCGATCACTGGTTAACAAGTCGAAAGGGAAGAGGGGTATAATGTGGGTGGCATGGGCTGCGGGAGTAAGAGGGAACATGGTTTGGTACCAGTGAACAGGGTTGTCCTACTGATGAACTAGGGGGGGTTGCAGGGAACAGGGTAGTCCTACAAATGAACTGAAGGGACGGCAGGGAGCAGGGTAGTCCGACTGATGAACTAAGGGGACTGCATGGTTTGCTATAGGTTAAGGGGGAACAACGTTCAGGGAACAGGGAACTTATATTGATGTTCTACTGGGTAAGGGAAACGGTGTTCAGGAAAACAGGGTATTTCTATTGATGTTCTAGTGGGTAAGGGAAACAATGGTCAGGGCAACAGGGAATGTCTATTGATGTTCTAGTGGGTAAGGGAAACAATGGTCAGGGGGAACAGGGAATGCCTATTGATGTTCTAGTGGGTACGGGGAACAATGGTTAGGGGAACAGGGATCTGCTAATGATGTTCTACAGGGTTGTCAAAAAATAAAATAAAATGAAAATGTTTGTTCAGGATGCAAGGGCTGGTTGTGTCCGAAGAAGCAACATCTCATGTGGGAACAAAGTGTCCGAGTGTCTTGAAAGGAGGTCTGCAGCGGTCTTGATCAGGTTTTGGAGTAGGTGGTGGAAGCGGTCTTCAGTGGCTGCAACGGGTATAAGTCCAAGAAGCGTAGCAGTAGTCCACATGTCCGAAGTCCAAGTGCTAGGGAGCGTCTGGTACGTGAACTGCAATGAGGTCTGATCTGGAAGCAGGTAAGTCGCAGACTGATGCAAGTATCCATGTCGCAAGTTGCTGCTCCAGTAAGTCTGCGAGTCGGGATGCCGGCCGATGAAACAGCATGGTGGCCAAACCAGCTGCATAATCTCCATGAACAGTGAGGCAGCAGGCCACTGCCCTCGTGCGTTTGCCATTAGATCCTTTATCGCCGACGTCATGCAGGTCCACAAGCATTGGACAAGAGAGACAAGGTAGTGGAGAGGACGGATGGGACAAGGCTAGGCGAAGGTAAGGGCAGATCAGATATCAGGAATCAGGGTCAAGGGGAGGGTGGCTGGGTTCAAGGGTGTGTGTAGAGCAGGGTTGCGAGGGTTTAGTGGGGGTTTATGCCATAGAGAGGTTCTTTGACATAGGATTAGCACGATCATAGGCGCGGACAAGTTTCATGGCGTTCTTAAGATCAGAGAGAGGTTCCCATGTAGATTCTTCGTCGGGGTATCCGGTCCATTTGACTTTGTATTCAGTGATTGGTTCCGGATGATCAGAAACCAGAGTGGTTCGTCGGCCGATGATGGTTTCGACAACGAATTCAGGGCCTGTGGGTAGTATGATTGGTGGAGGTCTAGGATATGGGCGGTCGGCGAACTGGAGCGGGGATTCATGGTATTCTTTTAGGTACTTGACATGGAAGACTGGGTGGGCACGAGTCATGTCAGGGGGAAGTTGGAGTTTGTAGTTGACGGGGGAGGTTTGTTCACTGATGGGGAAGGGACCGAGCCATTTGTTGGAGAGTTTCTTGGACAAGCCGTGTTCGGGTTCAAAGCGTTTGGCGGAGAGCCAGACTTTGTCCCCTACTTTGACTGACACGTCGCGTCTATGTTTGTTAGTCTTGTTGGCTTGTTGTTCTTGGGTTCGTTCAATGGCTTCGGAGGCTTCTCTCAGGAGTCTGTTCATTGTTGCTACCCATTCATTGAGAGAGGGGCAGGGGGTGGACGGGTTAAGCTGCGAAGGAAGCAAGAAGTCAGAGGGCAAGCGAGGGTGGTAACCAAGGTCCAGGGTGAATGGGAGTGGTAGCCAAGGTTGAGGTAGCCAAGGCCTGTACTAATCCATTGCTCGTATGCACCTGTATTTCCTTATTCATTCTTTTGGCAGAGCTTACCATTTGCTGCCTCTTTCCCTTCTTCTTCCGCCTTCCTATTTTTTGTCCCTCTCCTCGATCCTCTGTATGTGCGCGCGCGCGCGTGTATGTGTGTGTGTGTGTGTCCCTCCCCTTTCCCACTGGTTGACGTGCGGGCGGAAGGCCTGATGCTAGGGGGCATCGGGCCTATCCGACCCTCCCCCCCCCCGTCACTACAACACACTCACAGACATCACAGCGCACACGTCAGTACA